TGAGTGCGCGAGGTGGTTATAAAAGGCTTCTACCCCCCAGGGACAAGGTATGCTAACTTCCGCGCTATCTGGTTATTCTTGCCTTTGAAAGACTCTAACTTGAGCTTCGGAGCCCTTACGCCGGGTTCTCCCCGGAGCCTCTCTTCTCCTCCCGTTTCAGGTCCCTGTTACTCATTTTGGAGGCAAGATCATCAACAGCTAAGACCGGCCAGATCGTGCATCATCAGTTACAAATAAGGAGAATAGGGTTTTGGGAGGGTTAAGAAAAAAATATTTCAATCGACTCTTGTTCTCAAATCTACAAACCACAGTTCACTTACTTCATAGGGAGCAAGGATTTCCAATCAACTGAATAAGTAGGGAATTGATTAAATAATTCCATGTTTATGCTTATATTTTCTAACTTTTAAAAATAAATATTTCACATGTCTGAGGTGGGAGAGGCAAGAGGGAGATGTGTGAGGTCTAGGTGATAAGCCCCTGGCCTCCCACACATTTCTCTTTCAAATATAGATATAAATTTATCATTTAAGCATTTAACATTGGTCATCATCAAACATGGTAATCATCACGTTTATAGCTTTTGAGTTGCTACAGACCTTTAGTTTAGATAATCATGCTACTAATAGTGTTGTCATAGTCCAGCTGAATTACAATGTAATTCTTTTTTCTTTTTCTATGATATGTTTCTTATCTAAATGATCCATATACAAGCAATAAATTGCTTAGAAATATTCAAATGATTATGCAAATGGAAATTATCATCCAAGACCATTATTAGAGTTTTACCAATAACAAAGTATTAAGCAAAACATCAAGTGTGCCTGAAAATTGAGAGTTAGATCCAAAAGTGCACCAAGAGGAAATGATTAGTTCATTCTGGGACAGATTCACAAGTGATTGAAGAATTTAACATATATTTATAGAGAAATGTTATGTTTGTGCCTTGAATTCTTTGTGGCGACCTGTTTCATGAATCAACTCTGAATTAATTTGAAAAAAACCCGAAAGCAAAATTTCATAGTGGTTTGTAGTGGATGCATAGGGGCTTGGGCCGATAGGACCCGACCCATTTTCATCTTATAGGTCTGAACCGAATACGAAGAGTTATGTATTTCGGGGGTTTTCTCTTTTGTAGACAGTGTCCTGAGTTTTCTATAAGAGGTGAGAGACTGTGGGTGTATTTGGGGCTTAGGGTTTTCTATGAGGGCACAACTCTGTATTTATTTTCCATTACCTACTTCATGGTGGATTTTCTGTTCTTCCTTCACCTGTGGACATAGGCTATAAGTCGAACCATGTAAATATGTGTGTTTTATGTGATTATTTCTCTTTATCTCTGTTTTACTTTCATTTTTGATTGCCATTCGAATCTGTTTTCTTGGGTTTTTTTTTTCATAACAAGAAATGCAATGTCAAGAGATAGGAGAACTTTATCCGTAAATTTTAAAACAAGGAAGAAAAAAAAGGAAAAAGTTAATGAAAGCCTAATAAAAAATGGACATGCTAGATGAGTTTTTTTTTTTTTCATTCAACAACTTAAAATGGTTGCCATGCATCCTCTTCAAGGTCAACCTTCAATCCGATGTCTATTCCCACCCCCAAACCCCAAAGAAAAAAATCACTGCTACATGGAAAAGAAAATCTTCATTTGTATGTAATTTTCCTTATTAAAGTTTCAAAAACTTCAACCACCATATTACCAGGATAAGAATCCAAGTCATGCTATGAGACATTAACCACTAGACCTATTCATGGGCTGAGTCGGGCTCGGGCTGGGCTTTTGCTCTTTATTAACATA